AGACAAAGTTTCTATTTTGGCTCATAGTTCTGGAGGTTCCAGTCAGTCCAAGATTGGCAGCCTCTTGTCTTTGAGCCTCTTATAAGGGCAACCCATAATTGCAGAAGAATATGGCCGAGAAAGTCACCTGTTTACCTCATGAGTTAGGAGAACTGAGAGACTTGGTGGGATACTGTAATGCTCTTTAAGGTTACATACTCCAGTGACCTAAGGACCTCCCAGAAGGCCTCACATCCTGAAGGTTCCATCACCTCCCAATAGCACCACACTGGGAAGTAGGCCTATAACACACAGACTGTGGAGATACTACCCATATGCAAACCACATCAAGGGGAAGTGAAAAAAGTAAAAGTAAGAATTATAGGATTTGAGAAGAAACTGCTGAATAAATAAACTGAAAAACTAGGCTGTGATCGTAGAGTGAATATTTTCATTCTGTGGGTTGCTTGGTTGTGTGGAGGTATTTCTCCTTGGCTGTTTAACTGTGTGGGTCTCAGGATAGTGGTGTTTAAACACTGTAGTTTAAGCACTATAGTTTAAGTAGATTTTATGCAGTGTCTGCAGAGTTGCCTTTTGATGATCCTGGCTACTAGGTACTAGATTTAGAGTGATATCCCATTTTGGGTACTGAATGCAGTTGAATGTGTGTGTGTGTGTGTGTGTGTGTGTGTGTGTGTAAATATTTTTAGTATTTCATGATATGCTGCGGTTGTTATGATGGAGACTAATTCTAGCAGGGTTTCAGTATCTGCCTAGGAGATTGTGCCAGTGGAACTAATGAAATATTTCACTAAGAATAAAGATGTGATTAGGAAGTTGAATTAAACTGGGTTTAAGATAAGATCCACAGAAAGAATGTTAAGAATGAGTATGGGGTATAGAATGGAGGGGAACAAGGACTCTAGGGTTAAGGAGCGAAGGAAAGAGAACCTGGCCTGATGGCCCCAGGGGTAGACATTGAAACTACAGAGTTGTGGCTAGAATTGAGGTGTAGAAGACTTCACTGGGTATCTGTTGGGAGGGGTTACAGGAGGTGACTGATAGCAGTGATGAGCTGCTGCAAGCCAGTGTAATTGGATGGCATTGTCCTCAAAAGAACAGATGAACGTAACTGTACTTTGTATTTTATAATACCAATAAACTAAAAAAAACAAACAAAAAAAAGCAGGGCTTTCAGGTGAGGGGTTTAGCTCAGTGGTGCTGCTGCCTGCCTCACAAGCTCAAGTTCAAATTCAATTCCCAGTACCAAAAAAAAAAAAAAAAAGAATAGGGCTTTGTTATGTTGTTGTTTTCCTTTTTAGGGGGGTAAGAAATGGTCTGGAAATTGATAAAAGCAAGAGCTACTTTCCCCCTCCTGGGTCCTCTGAATTAGGGAGGACTTGGGTAGCTATTCTGCACATTTATTTATTTTTATGTATTAATTGTACATATTAATTGGGTTTGGTATGATATTTCAGTTCATACATACAGTATGTGTAGTCTGCCCTCATCAACAGCCCCTCTTTCCAACTTCTTTTAATCACTGTTCTACGTTCAAGCTCTCAACTGGAAAATTAGTTCAGTATTCCTTACTCCTAGAAGTCAGTAGCATCAGATTACTTGGGATTCAGACAAGCAAGTTTTTTCTTCTCACTCTAAACCTATAGAATCAGAAACTTTGGAAAAGCGGGAGCAACAATCTCTGTTTTAACAAACCCCTTTAGTGATTTTGATGTGTTGGAGCCACTTTTGTAGATAGTAACTGGCAGAGGGTGAGGGGAAGGATGTATTTAGTGCAGATGCATGAGAGGGTTGTTTGATTTCCACATGGTAAGTTTTTGGAGGGAAGTAGAGCCCTTAACTGTGTGAGCATAGATCTTGTCTCCTGTAGTCTCAAGTTACACGGGGCTAGTATTAATAGCCCCAGAGCACATGTTACAGGTTAGGTCTATTCTTGGACCAAGAAATTGCTTTTAGCCCCAGAAACTACTACTAAGAATAGTTAATATTACCTTTAGTTGACTTTGCTAGGTTAGTTGTCTTTGCTAGTATTTTCAAAGCGTGACTTGCTATACAAAAATTAAATTTGTTTAAAAAAATCTTTCATAAGTGTTCCCCGTTACAAAAGTGAGTTCTTATCATAAGAGGCAGTTGCTTAGTGTTCAGAATTTATTTTTCTTAAATAATGAGAGAGTATGAGGTTTTCAGAAAGATTTCTCCCGATTACCCTATCCAAGATATGAACAGGTCTCTATTGAGACACTGAGAAAGAAAGTCAGTGTAACTGTTGAAGTGTCGCAAAAGACAGAAGGATAAGGTTAGTTATAGAATGGATTATTGTGATTAAGAATTGTCCCTGGGCCGGGGATTTAGCTCAGTGGTTCGGTGGCCTGCCTTGCAAGCGCAAGGACCCGAGTTCAATCCCCAGTACCAA